CTAATACGGAAGCACAAGAGAGGGGAGGGGGGGGAGGCTCGACAAATGGTTTCTCGAGGGTTTGGCGACTGTTTGATCACGCAATCGCAACGCGCGGGGGATGATGCACGAGGTCGCGTGGCGGAGGTCGAAGACGCGTAATGTGCTCAGGACGACAGCCCGCAACCAACTGTGGCTCTTGGCCACCCTGTAGTTCCGCCACCCCCGAACAGGGGTGGCTCTCGGCGCTTGCACGCCGCGCACCGTTTACCCAAACCGTGAAAAATGTTTCCGTCTGGCTTCATCCATTGACGAACACGAGGTATCTAGAGGTATCAATTTATTTTTCTAATTTCGAATAATTTTCTTCTTCTTATTATTATTATTATTATTCTTCTTTTTCTCAGTTCGAATAATTCTAAGAAAATTTCATACTTGTTTTTGTTTTTAGGATTTAGAGGGCTGGAAGAGATGTAAAAATGAGTAATTGAAGTTTAATGATGAAGAGAAAAAGAGAGTAATTTAAGATTGTAAGGAGAGGATGATCGCACTTTAATTGGAATTGGTTGTAATTTGATAAATAGGCTTCAACTGATTATTTCTGATATACCAAAAACTTTGTTTTATATCAGTGAATTATAAATGCAAATTTGTAATATATATTATGAGGTTAATGAAGATATTTATGATAATAATTGTTATACAAAAGAATTTCTTAAATATCGTATAATCTGTATATTGTATGTAGATTATATTGTAGATTATATGGTTTTATATTTTTATATTGATATTTGAGTACTTCTTCGAAAAAAAACAGAAATATAGTATATATTTATGTATCAATCGAATGAGATTCAGAGTTCAGTGTTACAAGACTTTGTGTTACAAGAAGTTTGAAAAAGTTTCTAAAGAAAATCCTTGAAACTTTTATCAAAAGATAATAAAAAATGCAAAAAAAGGGATCTTTCCTTTCAAAGTCAAGAGGATGAAAAATTCTTTCCTTTGAAAGTGAACAAAAAAAATATCTTAATGCCTCGTTTTTTCTTGCTCTCGCATCTCTTTACAGAGATTTAAAAAATAAATCGAAAAAACTTTTTTTTTTTATTTGATCTAGTCGAGTAAATAAATTTTCAGAAGCGTCTCCTATTAATGTCGCCTGTCTGCTTAAAGTCAGACGTACCGTACATTCGTGTCAGTCAACCGTAATTAAATGATCCCTTGGTCCAGATGTCCACTCTCCTCCACGTGGGTGTTTAGTTCTTGCTCCAATTAACGAGAGAACAATAATTTAAATCGTTATCAAGGGAATGTCGAAAATGTGTTATT